CTTTATTGTGTTGAGCTACATTACTTGTATACATATTTTTTTGTTAGTTTTGTTTTTTTTTTATCATGAACAGATGTTGAATTTTGTAAAATGCTTTTTCTGCATCTGTTCAGATAATCATGTGGTGGTTTTTATCCTTCATTTTGTTAATGTGGTATATCACTTTATTGATTTATGTATGTTGAACTATCCTTGCATCTATGGGATGAATCCTACTTGATCATGGTGGATTATCTTTTATTGTGCTGTAAACCATTTATTTTCCTTAACGTAAATTTTATCTTGATTAGGGTTTGAGTTTCTTGAATCTATGGATTGAATTCTTTCATCAGTTTTGGAAAATTCTCATCTGTTATCTCTTCAAATATTCCCTTTGTCCGATACTCTTTTTATTTCTTTCTTTCTAGGACTTCAGTTAGATGAATGTTAGACCTTCTGTTATAATACAACTTACTTAAACTGATACAATAAGAAATAATAAATTTGAATGTTCTTTTAAATGTTAAATTCAATCTGTAATTAAAGATTTATTATACAGTTAAAATAATTAGTATATTTTCATATTGCTGCAAAGAGAGAAAAATAGAAAAAAGATGAGAATAGAAAATCTAGAAACATACTTGTGTACATTTGAACATTTAACTTAGAAAAAAAGCAGTACTGGAGAACAGTGAGGAAATAATATTGATTTCAAAATATTAGGCTGGGAAGGTTGGATATTCATATGGGGAAATAACAAAAAATGTTTCAATATCATGTCATGAGCAAAAACAAATTGCAATTTGATTTCAAACCTAAATGTAAAAGTCAAAACAATACAGTTCTTAGAAGATAAGATGAGACTATTTTTTATAAATTTAGAATATGAAAAATTTTAAACAGAATCAAAGCTGTGAAGGAAAAGATTAACATCACTAATTCAATTAAAATTAGGACCTTATGCTTATCTAAATTTGTCATTAAGAAGATAAAAATTCAAGAAATAGAGTGTGAGAAAGCATTTGGGGTGTGTGTGTGTGTGTGTGTGTGTGTGTGTACAGGTACACATATACGAAAGGTCTTCAAACCATTGGTGGAAATATTTGCGTTATCTTTTAATTCTACTTCTCTACTAACTTTTGAAGTACTCTTATATAGAGAGAAAGAGAGTGTGTCTGAGAGTAAGAAAGCATGAGCTCACTTTTTTTTTACAGTAAATTAACTTTTACTGTAAAAAAAAAATCAGAGTGCTAATTCTACAAGTAAACAACTTCAGTAATTTTGAGAACCAATAATGAAGTTGCAGTCTTAGTTTCTTTTTCAACCTTGGAGGCAGATCCGGAGCAGTAATAGTAGTAACAAGTAGGAGCAATGGGTGCACTCTAATGTCAATCTTTTATAACAATTTTTGTATTAATACAAATAGCATTTTTGTAAGTCCATTCACTCTATGGATGTTTGCTTATGCATAAACATGGGTCACAGTAGAGACATGAATAGATACATGAGTCATATCTGTTAAGTCTCTTGCCACAAGCATCAAAACTTTTCAGAGCTGGTTCCTCTGTGAAAATTCATTTAAAGTAGCAAGTTGTTTTTTTCTGTGGTTCATCCCCATGCCTGAGATTTGCAATAATGTAGGACCAGTTTACCATCACTGCCAAAACACTCATAGAGGGTTCCAACTTCCCGGTCTGGGGAAGGAGCAACAGACTGATTCACATAAATAAACAACTGTTCTGAGGCCACAAGTTTAAGGAACTTTTTGATGAAGTCAATGAGTCCTTGGATGGTTCGGGTTCGCTCTACAGCCCACTTCTTTGTTTTCATAATAGGGGTGTCTCCCACATCCTTTAGCAGGATGTCAATTTCTTTCTTGGTGTCTCCAGCAGGTTCCTCTGTCCCAGGGGAGACTGCAGTGGAAGAAGGAGGCGCCAGAGTGACTGTTTCTGGGGAGACCTCTGTCAGTCCTTTGCTGCCAGCAGCAGTTGAGGGAGGAAAGGGAAGTACAGACTCTGGTTTCTCCACCATCTTTCTCGATGGAGGTGAGGGCAGAAGTGGAGGGTGAACATGTGCAGTGGGCAGGCTTCATGCCAAGGAGCATCGCAAAGGAGGTGTCTGAAAATGCGGACCCAACCCAGCACTGAAACTTGCCGGCTAGTCCTTCACTTTGAACCTGTCATGGACCCTTGACCTTTAATATTGCACCGAGTGTTAGTTACCTTACAGCAAGATGCTTCGGCCATGGGCGACGTCCCCACGCACAGCCAAGGGTACACATGAGCTCACTTTTGATTGAAAAGATATATAACCTTAAGTGAGTGTCTAGAATGGCAAAAATTTTAACAGCAAAACAGAGCTACAGAATAGGATAAAATATTTGCAAACTATGCATCCAACAAGGGATTAACACCCAGAATATACAAGGAACTCAAACAACTTAACAGTAAAAAAAACAAGTAACCTGATTAAAAAATGGGCAAAACAACTGAATAGGCATTTCTCAAAGGAAGATATACAAATGGCCTCATACTAGGGCCTATCTTTATATATGGTACATAGAGTTTTAATTTCATCATATTAATTTGACAAAGTACTGAGTAGGGGAAGCTCCTGTGTCTGTCTTTTTTCCAGATATCACCATAGGCCTAGTTTAGGATGAATGAAATACAAGGTGACCTCTTGATCCTGCTTATTGCTAAGGCTCACAGAAAAATCACTGAACTGACAATTTTCAGCAGTTCTTAACTTCCTGAACTGGTCTCCTGCTGCTTTCAGCCTTTCTATTGTTACCTATTTCTGTTACACTTTTGGTGATAGTCTCCATATCAAGAGCAGCTACATCTAAACCTGAGACAGAGACTGATGAATTTGATACAGTGGTCCACAATATTGAGCTTAATACCATGACCGAGTGGGATTTTTGTATTGTCTTCTTTGGGGTGAGGATAGATGTATTCTGTGTGGGGGACAGAAAGGGAGCCGATTGAACCAATATCTGGTAACCACAATGGTGGTTTTTGGTACTCACTATGCTGTTTACCAAAATATTTCCAGTTCACCTCTTTTCACGTATATCATGGAAGGCACATCAGTTCCCTTTAAGTTATAGGTGGCCATGAGGTTTGCCTTGGACAATCAAGTGTGACCAAAAATAATGTATATCAATTTGGGAAGGAAATTCTGATCATCATGGAAGCTTCTATCTCCTGAATAACTACACTGAGCAGAGTCCCCTCTGAAGCGATAAAGAAATTAGGTTAAGTCATTATTATTAGGTATTATTTGTTACTGAAATATATAACCTTGAACTTCTTCTGACTAATGCATGTTTTAATTTGCTCAATCTCTGTCCTCCTATTCTTTTCTGACTGTCTTTTTCTCTCATCTCTTCCCTATTTCCCTCAAACTCTAGTGCTTGTTTCAGTCTGTACCTCATAATTTGTGCTGAGTGAGTAGGCTTATGCAGAGCACCTTAATAGTCAACACATAAGTAGCCGCCAATATCTCTTTTAAAGGTCAATCCCAGTAGATGTCATACTATTCAAATAGAATTCATATTGACTATATTAATTATCTTGATGAAATCTGAAAATGACTCACATTAGCTAATGACTAGCCTTCCAAACACTGACCATATGTTTTGTTGTAAATACTATTAACTGATGGACTGCAGCCATTATCTAAATTAGCAGATATTTAAGCTTGGATGAGCAGTACAAAAATCCTCGACAGTTGGCAGCGTGTTTAGATTCTGTTGTCTTTAGCTATAGGGAAGGTGAACTGCAACAGGTTCAGTGGTTTGTCTTCTCTGATCTGTGTGGAATATACATTTGTCCTCAGAAATCCCTTTAGTGAACCACATGCATTAATCACAATAAAATCAACTTGCAAAGAATTATAATTTCCCACCAGAATTGCCAAATATTAGTTTGATTTTTAACTTTATTTGTTAAGCAATACATCAGGCCACAAAATAGCTATCACCTACTACCCCCACATACCCCCATACTACCCCTGCCCCAAGTAATCACTAATCTACTTTCTATCTCTATAGATTTCCCTATTGTGGGCTTTCATATCAGTGGACTCATAGTATGTGGTCTTTCATGACTGGTGTCTTTCAAATAGCATAATGTTTTTAAGGTCCATCCTTGGCGTGGCATATACCAGTACTTCATTCCTTTTTATGATTGAGTAATAGTCCATCGAATGGATATAGTGAATTTTGTTCATCCATTTGTTTGTTGGTGGACATTTGTATTGTTTTTTTATATTTTGGCTATTATGAATAATGCTTCTATAAACATTTGTATACAATTTTCTGTGTGGACACACATTTTCCTTTTTCTTGGGTTAATACCTATATGTGGAATCGTTGGATCATATAGTAACTTTATGTTCAATGGTTTGGGCAACTGCCAGACTGTTTTCTTTTTTTTTTTTTTTCTCTCTTAATTTTATTTTGTCG